TAACTCCACCTGATAGTGCTGTATGCAAGACACCGATTATTACAGGGAAATGTGTTAACTCCACCTGATAGTGCTGTATGCAAGACACCGATTATTACAGGGAAATGTGTTAACTCCACCTGATAGTGCTGTATGCAAGACACCAATTATGTAGTGGACAGATGCTGATTACTGATTTACCAAAATGTTTGCTTGTTAGATAATGTTTGAGAAAATGTAAAACTTAATAAATATAGATCTAAGTAAACAGAAGAATTTCAAGTTGTTCAGAATAGTTTGTATAGGTAAAAACATATCAGACTGCCATAAACATAAATACTGTATATAACTAATAGAATAAAACAAATAAAATGTATCGATGTAGGTCGATTTTCTTTACTGGCCAAAAAACAATGTACAGGAAGGTAGCAATTTGTAGTCCATTGATTTCCATGGTTTGTAGGTAAAAAGGAGGCCCTGGCTAAGCCAGAGAAGCCTTAACCGCAGACCCACAGCCTTGGCCTCCCCAGGACGCCCTTACCATCCACGTCATACACCTGGAAGAGGAAGCGCAGCTTGTCCGTCTCACTTCCATGGATGAGTAGCTGCAGGGCCTTCAAGAGCTCATCCAGGCTGATGGAGCAGCTTCCGTCGGCATCAAAGAGGGCAAAGAACCTCTCCGCAAAGAAGGACTGCAAATAAGCAGAATAAGCAGCAGAAAGACCAACTTTTTAGAAAAAAAAGGAGCAGCATGGATGACATCATGCAGCATGGGATGAGGTGTAAGGAGTGAATGTTCAGCGTCCTCTAAGACACAGTAGTCCTATTAATAAGCTAAGCTACTACAGAGAATACAGAAAATATACCAGATAACATACAGCATGCAAGTGGTTCATAAAACACTAAACACTAAGGACTGGATCATGGGTGTCGTGATGGATGCCTGCTCTCACCTCCTTGACTTTGAGTGCTGTTTTAAACTCATCCAGGTCAATTTCCTTATCTTCTCCAGCAATGGTCTCAAACTGCTTTGTGATCCACTCCAGCCAGCGCGCGTCCTCATCAAGACTCATATTTCTCACAGCAGAAGGTAATTCCTGGGATGTGACGTGAACCAAGCCAGTATGACTGTTCAAATCTAACTCTGCGCTCTGCCATTTTCTCCCATGTGTGTATCAGCTTTTGGCAAAGTACGGAGAACCAAGAAGGCCTTAGGAGGGGACGGAATGGTGCTGAAGTTCCCGACATGCTATGAAAAGCTGGTATTCCAGTTGAGGAAAATAAATTTACAGATTCCAGCTCAAGGCAGCAGAGGGTGGAAGTATTGGGAGACGGGGGGGTCATCTATGCAAAAGTTAGCAAGCGTAATATAACCATCAGTAAAAGGTGAAAACTTGTGCAATGGGGAAAACAGGCATGCAAAACAATGAAAGAAAGAGAAGGAAAGGTCTGCAGATTGCTCTGCCCACTGGAAGCACATGGGACATGCTCAGACTGAATGTTGGGTAGTCAGGAGGAGTAGAGAGAACGGCAGCATAAAGCACACTGTGGCTCCATGGGGATCCTCACTGCATCACACGGCCAGTGCTGAGTCACTGGATCCCACCTTTGCACTGTGGGTGTGGCGCTTGCATGGTCTCCCCATGTTGGTTGAGAATCTCTCCTACAGTCTATAGACAGGTAATTAGGGGTGTGTCTGTGTGTGTGTGTGTGTGTGTGTCCTCTGTGGTGGACTGCTGTCTCATCCAGGAAGTTCACCAGCCTTGTGTCCTGCGCTGCTAGGGACTAGGATAAGTGATGAATTTGTACCATCCTTGGAAGAGCCATTCCACTGTGCAGCTTGTTGATATTTTTTCCTCATAATTTTGGAAACATAATTGTTTTTCTTAGCTGATATCCATACAAGAACTATTTTTGCCTTCATGAAACTACATAATCCCAACATAATAGGTTCAGAGTGATGTGAACACATTGATTTTTTTACATTTTCATTTATAACTACAAATAAATGCTCATTGCCCTACTAATAATCTTTTTAATATATATTTTGCAAGTTAAATAGAAAATATCTACTTCAAAAACTGCACACCTTTTATGTCTACAGTCATTGCCAAAATTATCGGCACCCCTGGAATTTTTCCAGAAAATGCACCATCTCTCCCAGAAAACTGTTACAATTACAAATGTTTTGGCATATACATGTCTATTTCCTTTATGTGCATTGGAACAACACAAAAAAACTGAGGAAAAAAGCCAAATTTGACATAATTTCTGTCACATCCCGCTCCGTACGATCCCGATGTGTGCCACGCCCCCCTCATTACCTCGTGTTCAGCCCTGATTGTTCTCACCTGTTGCCTGTTCCGTTTACTTAGTCCTGTGTATATTAGTCCGCGTCTCCCCATGTCTGCCAGATCCGGCATTGTATTGTCCGTGTATTGTCTCTACCTGTCCGTCTGTCAAGGATTAAAGACCCTAATTCCCCGTCATTTTGGCTCTCGCTTGCTTCTCTGCTCACCTGCATGCGGAAGCGTGACAATTTCACACAAAACTCAAAAACTCCAAAAATTATTGGCACCCTCAACTTAATATTTGGTTGCACACCCTTTGGAAAAAATAACTGAAATCATTCGCTTCCTATAACCATCAACAAGCTTGTTATACCTCTCAACTGGAATTTTTGACCACTCTTCTTTTGTAAACTGCTCACGGTCTCTCAGATTTCAAGGGTGCCTTCTCCCAACACAATTTTGAGATCTCTCCATAAGTGTTCAATCAGATTTAGATCTGGACTCATTGTTGGCCACTTCAGAACTCTCCAGCGCTTTGTCTTCAACCATTTCTGGGTGTTTTTAGAGGTATGTTTGGGGTCATTGTCCTGCTGGAACACCCATGACCTCCATGACGTAGACTCAGCTTTCTGACACTGGGCCCTACATTGCACCCCAAAATCTTTTGCTAGTCTTCAGATTTCATGATTCCTTGCACACAGTCAAGGCATCTAGTGCCAGAGGCGGCAAAACATCCCCAAAACATCTTAGAACCTCCACCATGTTTGACTGTAGGTACTGTGTTCTTTTCTTTGTAGGCCTCATTCCACTTTCTGTAAACAGTAGAATGATGAGCTTTACCAAAAAGCTCTACCTTGGTCTCATCTGTCCACAAGATGTTCTCCCAGAAATATTTTGGCTTCCTCAAGTACAGACTCCAGTCTGGCTTTTTTATGTTTCTGTGTCAGCAGTGGGGTCCTCCTGGGTCTCCTGCCATGGCGTTTCATTTCATTCAGATGTTGATGGATAGTTCAAGCTGACACTGTTGCACTCTGAGTCTGCAGAACAGCTTGAATTTGTTTAGAAGTTGACTGTGGCTGTTAATTCACCATTCAGACTATCCTGCGTCGCAGTCTATTACCAATTTTTCTCTTCCATCCACGTCCAGGGATATTAGTTACAGTGCCATGTGTTGTGAACTTCTTCATTATGTTGTGCACAGTGGACAAAAGAACATGCCGATCTCTGGAAATGGACTTGTAGCCTAGAGATTGTTGATATTTTTCCACAATTTTCGTTCTCAAGTCCTCAGACAATTTTCTGCTCTTCTTTCTGTTCTCCATGCTTAGTGTGGCACACACAGACACACAACAGAAAGTCAACTTTGCTCCATTTTAACTGGCTTCAGGTGTGTTTGCTATATTGCCAGCACCTGTTTCTTGCCACAGGTGAGTACAAACAAACATCATATGCTTGAAATAAAACGACTTACCCACAATATTGAAAAGGTGCCAATAATTTTGTCCAGCCCATTTTTGGAGTAGTTAAAGTATGTCAAATTTGTTTTTTTTCTCTCTGTTTTTTGTGTTTATCCAATGAACATAAAGGAAATAAACATGTGTATACAAAAACATTTCTAATTGCAACAATTTTCTGGGAGAAATGGTGCATTTTCTGGAAAAATTCCAGGGGTACCATGACTGTACATAACAGTAAGACTTTTTTTGTTTAAAAAAAGCCATTTGACTACCATTATTTAGTCATATTTTGCTGCAGAGAAAGTTATATATTTTTAATGACTGGTACAAAATAAGTCAGAAACATTTCTTGACTTATAGTACTTTATTGTCTTAATTCTTTTCTTTTTAAAACCTAAAACATATATTAATAAATTTAGGGATGCATTTTTGTATATTTCTGTGTATTTGGATCATTTATAGCTTTAAGCTTTTGAATTCTGAAGCTATCACAAACACCTGAAATACTCAGGTCTACAACAATAGCCCTCAGATGCGTGACTGTCACAACAGCGAAGTATTTCTAATGTTACCATGGAGATGTCAGAAGCAGCAAGAGCATACTGTGTCTCACAAATCATTTGCTTCCACTAATTAATCTAGTCCATTAAACGCCTAAATGGTTTACTCAAGCCTTTTGATTAGATTTAACACACACAATTATAAATCTGTATAATACTGTGGGTGATAAAAAGGGCCCTTTCTGACAGATACAAATTAACCATATTAATGCATTCATTAAGTTCAAAAAATTAATTTTCAAAACAAAACAACAAATAAAAGGTTGTTTTATTAAAAGGTCCTGAAAAATATATTATATACAATTTATACACTGCAACTTTGACCAGAAGGAAAGTTAGAAAACGAACAGATTGAGGTGCTCATAGGAGATTTATATATACATAAATTTGTGTATTATAAATATGTATAGTATATATACGTAAATACATTTCCTTAGACCTGTAAATACCATATATTTGTGAGATAACAGGTGGTAACAAAAACTCTTTATCTTTGTAAAACAGATGTTCAAATATTTAAAGAAATATTTACCTTGTCTTGAAAGCTCAGCCTTTATGTTTTCCTTTATCTTTTTCCCCTTCCAGAACAATCAAATGCTCTCAAACCACAAGTGATTTTCCACAATCTCTATATCCTTTGATGGTCACCTGTCCAGCTCCAGTGTAACTTTTCATTTGTCCAGTGACACCTTCCTGTAAGCAGCAGGGCTGTGACACAGTGAAGCCACAGAAACGATGTCCTCCTCCCCGCCTAACCCTAACCCTAACTCTAACTCTAACCCTAACTCTAACTCTAACCCTAACCCTAACTCTAACCCTAACCCTAACTCTAACCCTACTACTCATCTGACTTTTCAAGCCCTATGGCACATAAGACCAAATTCAGTATTACATGACTGATCATGCTGAACCTACTACAATGACAATTACTAGTTTACAGTGAAGCTTTATGCTTCTGAGTTTACTCAAGTAAATTTCTACTCTGGTAAAACACAAATAACTGGAAAAAATAATGCCAGTAATGATTTAAAACCTTACCTGCATTCAGTGGTACTGTTCTTAGTGCATGGTTCATGCATTCCCTGTGATATTAAAATATAAACATGTCTGTGCTGGCTTTTAGTCAGTTGTGTGTGTGTGTGTGTGTGTGTGTGTGAGCATGTGGATGAGAACTCAGTGGGGCAGGGAGACAGAAAGACAGTCGATCCTTAGGTCATAGCAGCTGTGTCTGACATCCCCTTGTATCTACTTGCAATAAGGCCCATCCTTGGCAACATTAATAACACTTACAGCATATATGTAAATTACATTTCACACTGAATCAGATCTATTTTTATTGATTTCTTTATGTTTTTACCTTAAATAAGTGATTAAATGTTACACATTGCATTTAAGGCCTCTGCTGTGATCTGTTTTGCTGTGAAATGCCATCTGTTGTTCAGAATACCTCATATTTTAAGGTCATACTTGCAAATGTATCCAATTTATATAAGTATATTTGAACAGGGATTTTTTTTTTTTAAAGTTATTTTGCTTGCTATATATTAGTTCAGACTAAATAACCACTACACATAAGACACAAGACATTTTTCCTTTTTTAACTAATAAAATTGACATTTTTTATTTGGAACATAATAAGATTCTGCTTGCATTGATATTACATAATGACCATATGCATATTTACAATTTACTATCCTACATGTGAAATAAAATGATGTATATAATTTATGACTGATATCTCTCTCTTCAAAAATCATAAGTAAAA